GTCCTAGGGTAAAGGACTCACTCATTGATGATGTGTTGAGAAGACACCAGGCATAGGATCATCTTCCGATTGAAATGAGTGGTCAGGAGCATCACGATCCAGGTGTTTGGCAGGGACGGTAGGGATATCCTCGTCAAAGATCCATCCTTCTTCGAGGAACACACGGGCAACAGAGGGCATAACGGCGGGACACAAAAATTTGAGGCATTGGGTGCATCGTCGGCGGTGGTTTTCGATCGCTACAGCATGGCGTTCGGCCATAGAAACTGTTTTCAGTTTGGGATCTGCCAGGTGCTTGGGGTCAAGTGAATCAAAGTCCGTCAGGACCTTGACACTGGCATTGGTCATCGTTTCGGTCAGTAGGGGGTGGTATTGGGCGTGGATCAATAAGCCGACCACATTGCGGGCAGGGAACGTGATATTAAGGATGCGGGATGTATCGACATCCATTTTGCGGAGACGACGACGGACTTCGGAACGATCCATGCGGCAGGAACGGGGAATATAAAGGTACCCAAATCCATTGGGTCCTGTTTGTTCCTGGAAAGGGCGGACATTAGCTGCACGTTTGCGTGCGATGCGAACAGGGTCGTTGGTGCGGTTGGGCGGTACTTTTTGGTGACGGCCGTCCATTTGGAGGCCATGGAACCTACAGGAGGTATGGGGGCAGCAGTGGCGGTAGTTGCGGTGGTGGCGGGAACGGCGGTGTCCGGACCGGACTTTGGCAGGGTAGTCGTTGCAGCCGCTTCATAGGCGGTAAGACGTTGTTGCAGCTGGGCATTTGTGGCTTTCAGCTGGTCGATTTCCCTCAAGAGGGCATCGACTTGCTCGCTGCGGGTTTGGAGATGTGCGACTGTCTGTTGCAGACCAGTCACAACCTGGATGATATCCATCTGAGTAGGAGCGGCGGGCATCGGAGTAAGATCGGATGTCTTGGAAAACGAATTCGACATTTGCGGCTCTGGAAAAGCAGCTACAAAAGCGCGGTTTGCGGATGTACGTTGGATGGGACGTTGGGATGACGGATGCAACGTATTTGCTAACGGATGGATGATATTGTTAGGTCTTGGATACACTTTTTTTTACCGGGAAAACGTTTATCCGTTTCTGAAAGGCTAAAAGTGATGAGAAACCGAAAGAAAGGTGGGGATGTAGCTCAGACGAAAGATTTTGTTTATTTTTTTTTAGAGAATACAGATGACGAAGACCAATGGGTCGATCTGTCTATCCAGTACACAAAGGAAAAGGGAACGAAAAAAACACCTATCGAGACACAAAGGCGAAAAAAGAGGAAAGTGGAGGGGTCAGAGGAACAAAGGCTACTAGGCAACTAAGATCAACTCAATGGTTCCTTCCGCAGCGTGCACTAGAAAAGTTTGGCAGTGGGAGAGGAAAGCCAAAGAGGGGAAATTAGTGCTGTTCGCGCATGGGCGAGCGAGACTGATCCAGCCAAAGCTGACCTGGGGTGGGATCAGTGGTGTAGTCACCATCAGGATTGCACAGGCAGTCGTAGTGCCACAAGAGTCGGCACAGAGCAGACCACCAAGGGGGACAAGGAGCGGAAGGGGACGTGGGAAGCTGGTTCAACGCATAGTCAACGCGTAGTCTAGTAAACCCAGGCGGGGGAAGCGGGAGAAAGAGCCAAAGGGACAAAGGCACGGCAGGACACAGTTGCAGATGGGCTCGGGTTGTGAGCCCAATGCCACAAGCACAGGGACGCGGTTTGCCGGGAAGCCAACCCATACGCCATCGTCGAAAACGACTACGGTCAGCACGGGAGGCAGGAAGGTACAAAATCGGATCAACCCGAAGAACTGGGTGACAAGCACGGATCAGAACTTGGGAGGTGGATGCAAGGAAGGAATCGAAAGCAGCTTGGCGGTACGATCGAAGCCAAGAGGGAAGGCGGGGAGGATCATCATCATCCGCAGGGTAGTCCAAGACCATTTTCCGCTGACGGAGATGAGAGAGCAAGGAAAGACGGACAGAAGAAGAAAGGAGCGACAAGAGGCAGTCATCCGGGAGATAGGAGACGCGAAGGTGGTATTTGAGAACGAGTGTATCGGCGCAGAAAGACATGGAGGGAAGGTTGCAAATATGGAGGAGAACTTTGGTAGAAGAGGTTCGATGGCCACCGACCAGCATGCGAACGCAGCGATCTTGGGCACGATTCAACTCTCGGTAATCGGTTAGGCGAAGAGGGGCAATGGCGAGGCCATATTCCAACTTCGGACGGACAAAAGCAGCATAAATGCGGGCGGAGAAAAGGAGAGGGAAACCATTGCGATTCAAGCCCATTTGGGCGAGTTGAGCCATGCTTGCCAACGCAGCAGAGGAACGAAGTTTGATCAGCGCTGGTACCGAAATACCTTTGCTGTCAAAAGGGACACCCAGGTAAGTGAACTCATCGACCGAAGGAAGAACCTCGTCATAGAGACACAACCGGTTGATGGAACGAGAAAGAGCGGAAGGGGCATTGAGCACAGCACACTTGGCTGGACTCCATCTATACCCGAGGGTAAAAGAATGGGTTTGCGCAAGGGCCAGCATGTTGGAGACATCCCTAGCAGAACCAACCAGGGCCACATCATCGGCATAGAGCAAGCAATTGATGGGTGTAGGTGTGGGAACTTGGGAAGCAGTGGAGGGGGACTGGCACGGACCATAAGGGAGACCAATAGGTGCTGGCGCAGTATCACCGTGGGATGAACCAGGTGGAGCAGAAGGGGACAAAGAAAGAACGGAGGGGGTTGAAGCTGTAACAGCGGAACGGAGAAGAACAGGAAGGGTGTTGATGTAAATCGAATAAAGGTGAGGACTAAGGATGGAGCCTTGGAGAACACCAGTATGTGGATGGAAGGACGAGGAGGTGTGGTTCTGTAAGAGAACGGAGATGGTGACATCGTCGAACATGTTTGCCAGGAGAGACATAAGAGAAATGGGGGCGGAGGAAACAAGCATGGATTGCCATATGATATGTCGGTCGACAGTATCATAGGCTGCTTTGATATCCAGGAACGCAACAACAGGGTAATGATTGTGGCGATCATGGTAGGCGCGCATCAAGTCATGTAAGCAGAGGGCTTGATCCAACGCGCTACGTTGATGCCGGAAACCGCCTTGGGCTACATCAAGGACAGGGGAACCACGTTCAACAAAAGGAATGAGACACATCTCAAAAAGTTTGCGGATGACAGAGGTGAGGGAAATTGGGCGGAAATTTTGAGGAAGGGTGGGATCGCCTTTTTTATGGATGGGCACCACTTGGGCATGGCGCCAGAGAGAAGGAGTGTAGGACCATTGAAGGCAGATTTCGAAAAGTAAGGAAAGGAGTGGGGCCAGATGAGAACGAAGAGGCAGGAGCATTTCTGTACGTAGGTGGTCAGCACCAGGTGCTTTACGCACAGGAAGTCGTTGCATGGTGGATTCAATTTCATCGGCAGGGAACGAAATGGGAAAGGACTGTGATGGGCCAGTAAACGGAAGTTGGCGCGAGAAGGAGGGAAGAGGTAAAGGTCGGGTGACAGGAAGAGAGGAACCAGAATAAACCGATGCAAGATGATCGCACATGGCTTGTGCGCCCGCTGCAGGGCCATCTGGATGGGAAAATCCAGCTTGTTGGCGGCGTCTGTTTCGGATCATTTTGACCTTGGACATAGCGCAGGAAAATTCACCTTTGGCCAGAGTTTTGCAAAATTCACGCCAAGATCAGCGCTTGGCTGATTTCACCGCAGCACGGAAACGTCGGTGAGCTTCTTGGTGGTCATCCCAGAGGGGTACCTTATCCAATCCACGAGCATGACGCCATCGACGATACGCTGTATCGCGGGCATCAGCAAGGGCTTGGAGTTCGGTGGACCAGAAACTTTTCCAGTGAGCAGGACGAGGAGGACGGAAACCAACAGAACGATCAAGAGCCGAATGTATGGCATCATTGAGGGATGCATTTAACGAATCGATGTCTGGGCGGGAAGAAGGAGGTTCGGTATGAATGGAAACAAGTTGGTCAAGGAGTGGAGCAGAAAATGAGTGGAAGGAGTCTTGATACAGAGAACGGACATCATCTTCACGCAAGCGTGAGAGATTCCAAAGGCGACGAGTAGAAGTGGAGGGTGGAGGCGCAGGATGATCAACAGGGATCGTGTAGTCAAAAGACAAGGACATCAATTTGTGATCAGAGCCTAGTGAGAGATCGGAGGAGATGGTGATGGTAGGATTGAGGACGCAAGGGATGTTGGTGATGAAATAATCGACAATACTGGAGTACTCCATATTGTTGCGGAAAGTAAGGAACGTGGGGAGGCCATAGGCAAGAGATGAATTTAAGATGTTCAAAGAACGCTCTTCAACCCAGTCTCGGAGAAGGTAACCGCGGCTATTGGTGATAGAATCACCAGTGTCGTCACCAAGACGTGCGTTCAAATCACTACAGATGATGGTGTCGTCAGAAAGAGGGAGCGAGTGGAAGATGGAGGCAACTTCATCATTGGGTAATGAAGGCGGGATATATAGACAGATGAGATGGAGGAAGCGACCAATGCGTAGCCCTAAGGCATACTTATTGTGGATGGGGAATTGGGTAACGGGAAAAGGAAAGGAAGGAGAAATGAGAGCAGAAACACCTTGGGAACCACGGTAATTACCATCGACGGGACAACCGTATATATGGTGTTGTGGCCAGGTAGTTTTGATTCTGTTGGGCGGTAGCAGCCAAGTTTCGGTAATAAAGATCAGAGAAAAATCTTGGCAGTGACGGAGGAGATCATCAACCAGGGAAGCTTGGAGGCCATTGGCATTCCACAGGCCGATGTTGAGAGGGACGGTTGGTGGAAGGGAGGATGCGGTTGGGAAATGAGTGGCAGGAGAAAGTGGGGAAGGAGTGGAAGTATTAGTGTGACGGACCATCATTAAAGAGCATTCGTGACCATGTCAGTATCCTCGTCTTTATCTTTACGGGCAGAAGCATCAGTGTCGGGAGGGGAAGCAGGCGCACCACGGCAGGAGCGCAGAAGTTGGGAAACATTCTCCTCAGTAAAGACACCAGCTTCAAGGAAGGAACGAGCAACAGGGGAGGCAAGATGGTAGGGGAGACGGGTCACAGCCTTTTCACATCGGCTGAAGTGGAGGGTTTCAGCGAACGTTTCTTGTTCCTCAAGAGGTAGACTCTTGATTTCTGGATCCGCGAGGTGTACAGGATCAAGGGGGTCAAAGTCAGCAAAATGTTTGATCATATGCTTTTCCAGGGAGGCAAGGACAGTGGGACGATACTGGTTGTGGACAAGAAGTCCAACAACAGAGCGGGCAGGAAAAGTGATGTCGAGGATTCTATATGGGTCAATCCCAAGGCGACGGAGACGAGAACGGGCTTCTTGACGGGTCAATCGGCGGGAACGGGGGATATACAGGTACTGAAAGCCACTAGGGCCTTCAGTCTCCTTGAAAGTGCGCACGGATGCAGCCAAGCTGCGCACGGCCCGCTTTGGGTGAACAGGTCGGTGTTTTTTGGACACAGCGGCCCAGGTGGATTCATCAGAGCCCAAAGGGCTCGGCGAGGTAGCCTTAGCAGTGGAGGGGGCAGCAGGAGGGGCGGTGTTCACTGAACTAGCATTGGCACCAGAGGTACCAGCTGAAGCTGCAGCGAGACGGGCTTTGAGAGCGGCATTTTCCGCACGAAGTGTTTCCACTTCGGCGTAAAGTGCACTGAATTGTTCAATTTTGGCAGCTTGCTGCGAAAATTGCGAGGTCAGGAATTCAATTTGGGCTTGCATGGCCTCAAATTGTTCGATGGATGGTGGCATTTTGGGAACGTAAGCCGCCGTCGGTGTTGGAAATAAATTTGGAGCGCGGTGCGGTCCGGACAAAGGATTCGAGTCGGGGTTCGAAGAGGCAAGCGGGAGAGCGGCAGTAGCAGCGAGAAAAGAGTTATTGGTGCTTTCGTTGGTTGGATACACTTTTAAAAAAATGGTAATATCTCACGAACGAGCAGGTGGATAGGGCTGAAAATTGGTGAGGTAGGTCCAGTCAAACAGATGTACGCTGTAGCAAAAGATGACTGATGGATGGAGGGTTTGGATGCGTGAGAAGAGAGCTTTTTTATGGCGGGAAAAGATTTTTCCGATGTATAAAGGGCAAAAAGTTATGGAAACCGGAAAAAGAGGTGGGGATGTAGCTCAGTTCAAAGATTATATTTTTATTATGGAGACGACGATGTCGGTATTT